CAAATGGATTCTTAGTATTATAGTAAATAGATACTAAAGCCCTGTGAGGGAGGAAAAAGTCACACACACTTTCAAGCAAACAATTCAAGCTGGCATATTAATCTGTACCTTTAAATGAACAGCAATAATTAAGGGGAGTTGGGCACCTTGCTGTATTGTACAGCAACAGGGATTAAACACTGGCACTGCAAAATGCCAGCTTTCAGTTTGTGCACTTCTGGACCCTTCAGAGCCATGAACTGACATTTGCAATCTTTGTCAGTCAAAAAAAAATGGCAAATTCACTTAAATTTAGTTCTGCCATTCAAATGGAATGAAGGTCATCACCTGCCCCTTTTGTGATTTGATTATCCAGGGCCTGAGTTTATTTTCCTGAAGAAAGACACATTGAAATGTCCCAATTCTGCAACTCTTGCCCCATCTCAGCAGCTCAATTGGCTTAAATTATTAATCATTAACTGACTTAGCTACTGCTGTTTATTTAAGAGTACAGATTATTATAGAGTCCTGAGATGCTCACTTAAGTGTTTTTCCTTTCCTAGAGCTCTCACAACCATTCTGAAAAACAATTAAGTACACTTCGAAATTGCAAAAATTAGTATATTAAATAAATGGAATTTATAATTAAATTACCTTGGTTATTCAAATGCTGTAGTTACATATGGTTTATACTACTCAAAACACTTTTATTGACTGCATTCATGTAAATAAAGGCTACAGGTCCATTCCTTCTGCACAAGAAGACTAGGTCACTCTGAAGCAAGCTTCTGATTACAAACCACTAGGTGTACAAAGTCTGGACCAATGAATGCATCATGCTTGCAAGGAGAAACATGCTTGCAAGGGAAGAAAACAGGGCTCCACAATCCTATTCATATGCTGCTTCTGACTCTGGCATTCCCCTCTCATCTTTACAGAAGCTCTGAACATTTGAGGGTTAGGAGTGCAGCAGATTACAAGGCATCACTTTTTGGCCCAGTGCTTCTTGTAAGAACTGGGTTTCCCCAGGTTACCATGAGACTGAACTCGGCAGAAGCCGAAATCAAGGATACAGCAATGCCAGTGCCTGTTAGAGCAGAGTGAATGTCTCCCCTGTGGAGGTGGACTCTTTCACGGATTAAAAACTACCTGTAACAGGGAGAGTCTTCACTTCTTTACCTGCCACACTGAACTCCTAATCTCTTCTCCTTCCAGGGACAGCCACATCATAAACACCCTGAGAGATGTCAGCAGAACTGGCCTTGAATACTTCTGATTGCAGACAGGACCAAGGATGGGTTTCCTAATGACTTCGGCAACATACAGAAACAAGACCTCTGGGGATAATATTAAGGATTACTAATAGTGAGCACATAACTTGCTATCTGAACACAAGAGCGGATTTTTATAATGCATTTTTTTACTACGCTGCACTGAAGGGGACATCCTAAAGGTGCACACACCATAGGTCAGGTTCCAGTGTTGCAGTGCTCTGCCATGAAATAAGGAAGCTCATTCATTAGCATATGAATCAGCTCTCCACAGAAAGTGGTAGAACTGCAGGAGAGGAAAAGCCATTTTGCTTTAATAATAACAGCCTGTAAGAGGCAATCCCAGGTACAAAATGATCAAGTGACCAGAGCCAGTTCAGTGAAGAATGATAGCATTTTATGCTCAACACTTCAAGATTAAAGTCTTTAGTTAGCTAAGCATAATGTGAATCAGTTTCATGTATAATGCATTGTGTGAGCCCGTAGCCACTGTGATACAATGTAAGCAATTCCATTTAGTGCAATTTGACTATAGCTAGTACAGAATAATTGGAGTCAGTTTCTAGCATGCTAGAATTTGAGTCAAATATGAAATGGAAAAGAATTTGATACATAATAATATGGAGGCAAAGATAACAAGCAATGATGTGGATGAATAGTTAGTAAGTTATAATACAGAAATCATTTCAATAAGGTATGATGTGATTACGAATCCAGTGCTCTTATACATAGACAAAAGGCTAATCCATAATGGTAAATAAAGGCAACTACTAAGAAACAGTACAAATAATGGCACCACAGCTGCATTTGAAGGGAACGTGACATTGAATACTGCAGTTTTCTCAAATATAAGAGTAATGGAATAAACACCTACCAGAGGATAAAAAGCAGGCTACTCAAGAGAGCACAGGACACGGCTCAGAGCAGTTCCTCACATTGCAGGGGTGGCGTTAATACTGCACTGGGTGATTCCAACTCCTGCTCAGGAATTCAGCCCCTTCTGTTCTGTTTCTACCATTATTAGAAGCAGTTGTGACAGTTCTAACTCCTTTGGTACTCTGGGTCTCAATTTTACAATCTGGTGTGCAAATACAACAGTTTAAAGAAATGCCTTTTCCATGAGGTTAATAATGTATGATTAGTTAAAGTACTACAGCGTTTTAAAGCAAGCACATAAACATTAACATGACAGATCTACATGTAAACATTGTTGGCTTTCTAAAATTACTTCTGAAAACAGCAAAAATGTGCTATTATTGTGACTTGTGATTGCATTGGGTTTAAGTCCAACAGACACTAGTTCACTGATTTTTTTCTCTCTTCCTAACTTTTCATGGGTCTAACCCTGTGTACATGAGAAGAACTCATTTATGAGCATGTGCTAATCAGTTCTGACTACAAGTTTAAGTCATCCCTGAGCAAACAGAAAACTATTCAGCTTAGCAATAAAGTTAAATAATTATTACCAGGCTATGTGATGTGACTACAATGTGACATTGAAATGACTATGGTGTGATTAGAATAAGAATGTTATATGCCTGTGATGTTACTAGAATGAGGCTATAAAACGTCTGTGATGCCATACTGCTGTGATATGACTAGTGTCAGGAAAAATGTGTGTATTATTAATGCATACATAAACATGCCATATTTCAGAAGCAGACTGCATTACACAGAATGCTAGCAGTTCTAATTATCTCCTTTATTAATGGCTGTTCTGCTTTGTATTTTAAAAGACAAAAGAACTGCATACTTAATTCATTCACAGAATTCTTTTTCTAAGTGGTTTGGCAGTAAGGTTGCTCCTTCATGTCACTTGCTTGACTTTCAATGCTGGGGCACTAGCCATCCTTCTTGTATTACATAATGAACATTTTTCTTAAACTATTATTAGATCCAGTTCTGTTTTCTAACATTACTTGACGTCATCAAAACCGGGATCAATTTTTTTTTCTGCGTGTAACTGTAACAAGAGTATTTTGGACACAACTACAAAGCACAGCAAAACTGAGAGTGTTTAATCTTTACGCATCATGGCATTACAGGATGTCCAATGCTCACATACAGTGTCTGTATCCATATGACTTGCAAGGATATGTACATTTATCAGTATGTAGCACACAATCCCAAACCATGCAAATTACTGACCTCTGAGAGGTACAAGCAGCTCCCACCATTTGTTAATAGTGCATCCTATGTGCAGACACATATGGGAGTCCAAGAGCCTGCATCTGAAAATGTAAAATCTTCAAGGTGTAACTGATCTTTAGCTCACCAATGCTATCCACTGAAAATGTGCAAATGAGATAGCACCACATATCAAAAAAGTCAAATGCTGATGCTATCTTTGGGGTTTTTTTCCTATGCATATATATTTGAAAGGCTTAAGCAGAAGCAGCAGCTCGCGTGGCCACGTACCTGGGCATATTAAATTGGATAGGTTCTAGCATACAGCTTGTAAGTTCAAGCTGAGAAAAGCTAGCAATAAAAGCACAGTCAAATAAAGGTTCATTCATGCTTCAGAAAACGTTGAAAAAGGCACTACATATAATGCACTATAGATAATGCACTATAATCATCTTCTTGTCACACTTTTGAGGTCACTCATATCATAATACATTGGCATTTTATTACAGTGTCTTCCAGGCATGTGATGCTTCTTTGTGGCTAGCTGGATAATTTACCTGTGTCATTTATGGGGAAGGCAAAACGATCACTTTTATTATTTATCACACCACAGAGAGGAGGAATCTTTTCCAGTTCAATGTTTAAGCAGACAAAACCCAAACCAGCAGAGTACCTCTCTCCCTCCCTTGGCGAGTGTCTCGGCTGACCCTTCGGGAAAGGGAAGGAGAAAGGTGTGCAGGCGTAAATGGGAGCCGAGACAGGGCTGGAGTCAGAGCAGCCTGAATTATAGATGAAAGGGCATGTATTAAATATAAGGCCGAACCGGGCGAAGGCGGGCCGGGCCAGGCGATTGCCTCCGAACCTGCGCGGCGCCGGGCGGCGGCCCCGCGGCCACCGCTGCGCTCCGCTCCGCGCGGGGCCCGGCTCGCACCTCGGGCGGTCGCGCTGCCCCGCGCAAGCGACACCGAGCAGGCACTGAGGCATCCCCCACTCCCCCCAAATGCTCAAACCACCAACCCAAACGCGCACCGAGCCCTTATTTCCAAATCATCCTTCAGCCACGCGCAAACCCGACGCTGATTTCCGCCCCCTCCGCGCCCCCCAGGGCGCTGCGCCCCCGACCGCGGAGCGCTCGCCCGCCCTCCGCCCGCGTGTGTCCGTCGCATTCCCCCCGCGGAACGCCCCGCTCCTGCCGCGTCCCCGCCTCCCCTCGCCCCGCCGGTCCCCTCCGCGCGGCGCGCAGCCCCCTCCCGCCCGGCCGGGCCGGGGAGCGACGTGCCCGGCGGCCAATGCCGCGGCCGCGCTCCGCCATCCACCGCCCCCGCCGGCGCGGGCCAATGCGGTGCGGCGGGAGGGGTGGCCTCGCATCGCTCCCACCCTCCCTCTGGGCTTATTGAGAGTTATATCAAGAATTTCAGTTCAGAGAGAGAGAGGGAGAAGGAGAGAGCGTATGTGAGGGAGAGAGGCTGGGAGGGAGGGAGGGAGGAAGGAGGGAGGGAGGAGGGAAAGCGCCGCCGCTTCCTCCCGTCACTAAAGCAATAACCTATTAGGATTTCTTTTTTTGATTTTTTTTTTTTTTTTTTTTTTTTTTTTTTTTTTGGGCAACTGTCACCCCAGAGCTAAAGAGGGAGAAGCACCGCCAGACCAACTCTTGCCATTTCCAGTCAGAAGTTGCAGACTTCATGTAGCTGCCTCTGCTCTGCCGAGAGAGGGACGGGAATGGTGTGCAGTGCAGAGTGGAAAATACCCCCGCTCTAAGAAGTGCACCGGATTTTTCTCTTGCTGTTTGTTTGGGTTGTTGCGTGCACGTTAGGCACCCAAAGGATCGCCGCTTCACAGGAATGAAACGTGGAGAGGATGACTAACGACAGAACTGTGAATTTGTTCCCTGGAGTTGCTAATTTGCCACCCCGAAGCAACACATATCTCGAGGAGGAAGCGTTTGGCTGCTGCTGATTTCTCCAAAACTGGTGGTTTACCAGATGCATTGTGCTGTATCTGCTGGAACAGATCATTGCTTAGCTGCAGCAGATCGTCAAAGGTAGACAACTAACGTAAGTGCAAAGTTACTCTTATGCTGGGATGCATTTCCTTTAAAGAAAAAAAAAAGCCAACACATAGTGTATTTATCTAGGGAAAGAATCAGTGTTTGGGATTCTGTTGATGTTGGTGGGAAAGGCTCACCTAGTCGCTGTCTCTGCATCCCTACCTGCATTACTCTGCTGGAAGTAATCACAGGCATCAGTTACCGTGCAGCTTAATGCAGATAAGATTAGTGCTCAGGGCTGCCTAGTTCCATCAAACTGTAGGTGCTGGCAGCCTTGCACCCCGATAATGTGCGGTTAGCAGTGCATGCAAACAGAAGTCTGTCAGTCGCTTTCATTTTTTTTTTTCTTCCACCTGCATTATTAGTCTGCAGTATTTATATGTGGCAGCTGCTAATATCGTCCTGAAGGGAGACCAGTGTCAATGGGGAAAGGCTGCACCTTTTTTCCTCCTCATGTCATTAGAAAATGTATATTCCCCCATCTGTAAACATGCTTCCTGCTTCTAAGTTACATTTGGAATTTCCAGCCTCCTGATTTAGACTGTGTTTAAAAAAAAAATAAAGTTTTAGGTTATTAAACAGGAGGAGAACTATCCAACATCTGGAGAAGAAACATTGAGCTGAGAGTGTAAGAAACTGTAAGTCCTGTTATTGTCTCATCAGTTAACAGGGATGTGAAGTAGCCAGTGACGACTGCTGCAGCAGCAGCATGTCCGGGTGGTTATTTCCCAGTACGATAGCTATAGAGGGACATGCAAGGCACAGTGAGCAGAGAAAAATCTGGTTAGCAAGAGCTAAAAAATACATATGGAAGAAAACAGCAAATTACATTTGGCAGCTGGCATAGCAGTTAGAATCTAGAAGTAGTCCGGGAAGGTTTTTTACTTGTACCAAATGACTGGGTGGAGGAGGGTAGAGGGGGAATGCACTTTAGGGATTACACGGTGTACCAAGAAATTATTCAGAAAGTATGTGTCGAAACAGTAGGTACCCTTAATCCTGCAAGTAGTTATTTTCATTCGTGCTCTGAGCAAATGCAGCCGATGGGATATTGGTGCATTTGTCCGGAGGGCTTGCTTGTAAAAGGGAGCAGTAGGAAAATGTACTGCTGGAAGTGTGCATTGCAAAAACAAGTAGTAGTTGGAGATTGTGGATTTATCATGCCTAAAAGAAACAATAATGCTGTTCTGTGTGGTTGTGTTGACAGTGATGTCTCCAAATAAGAAATGAGATGTAATGCATCCTGCAGTCCATGCATGCCTCCTCTTGCAAATCGCGCATCATTCCTCTCTGGAAACCTTTAAGTCCTAAAATCCGTGGAAAGAGAATAAAAACATTATCATGGACCTGAGGGATTTTTACCTGTTGGCCGCTTTGATTGCCTGTTTAAGGCTGGATTCTGCTATAGCTCAAGAACTTATTTACACTATTAGAGAGGAGCTGCCTGAAAACGTGCCCATAGGGAACATACCAAAGGACCTGAACATTTCTCATATCAATGCTGCCACAGGGACCAGTGCCAGCCTTGTCTACAGACTGGTGTCTAAAGCAGGGGATGCACCTCTGGTCAAAGTGTCCAGTAACACGGGGGAAATCTTTACAACATCTAACAGAATAGACAGAGAAAAACTATGTGCTGGAGCTTCCTATGCAGAAGAAAATGAGTGTTTCTTTGAACTTGAAGTGGTGATTCTCCCCAATGACTTTTTTAGGCTGATCAAAATAAAAATCATTGTAAAGGATACTAATGACAATGCACCTATGTTTCCGTCCCCTGTCATCAATATCTCCATCCCAGAAAACACTCTGATCAACAGTCGCTTTCCAATCCCATCAGCAACCGATCCTGACACAGGTTTCAATGGTGTGCAGCACTATGAGTTGTTAAATGGGCAGAGTGTCTTTGGACTGGATATTGTAGAAACTCCAGAAGGGGAAAAATGGCCTCAGCTGATTGTGCAGCAGAACTTGGACAGAGAGCAAAAGGACACCTACGTGATGAAAATCAAAGTGGAGGATGGAGGTACCCCCCAGAAATCCAGCACAGCTATCCTGCAAGTCACAGTAAGTGATGTCAATGATAACAGGCCAGTCTTTAAAGAGAGTCAAGTGGAGGTCCATATACCAGAGAATGCCCCTGTAGGCACCTCTGTAATTCAGCTTCATGCTACAGATGCTGATATAGGAAGCAATGCAGAAATCAGATATATTTTTGGTGCCCAAGTCGCTCCTGCAACCAAAAGATTTTTTGCTTTAAACAACACTACAGGGCTGATCACAGTTCAGAAGTCCTTAGATCGAGAAGAGACTGCTATTCACAAAGTGACAGTGCTGGCTAGTGATGGTAGCTCTACACCAGCCCGGGCAACTGTCACCATCAATGTCACTGATGTAAATGATAACCCTCCTAACATAGACCTCAGGTACATAATAAGTCCCATCAATGGCACAGTGTACTTATCTGAGAAAGATCCCATCAATACAAAGATTGCCCTAATTACGGTTTCAGATAAGGACACTGATGTGAATGGCAAAGTGATCTGTTTCATTGAGAGAGAGGTCCCCTTCCACTTGAAAGCAGTTTACGACAACCAGTATTTGTTAGAGACCTCTTCCTTGTTGGACTATGAGGGCACCAAAGAATTCAGCTTTAAAATTGTGGCTTCTGATTCTGGCAAGCCCAGTTTGAACCAGACTGCCCTGGTAAGAGTTAAGCTGGAGGATGAAAATGACAACCCTCCGATTTTCAGCCAGCCTGTAATTGAGCTGTCAGTTTCTGAAAACAACCGGCGTGGTCTATACTTAACAACTATTAGTGCCACAGATGAAGACAGTGGGAAAAATGCAGACATTGTTTATCAGCTTGGTCCTAATGCCTCTTTTTTCGATCTGGATCGAAAGACAGGAGTTTTGACAGCCTCCAGAGTTTTTGACAGAGAAGAGCAGGAACGTTTCATTTTCACTGTTACAGCCCGAGATAACGGCACCCCTCCTTTGCAGAGTCAAGCGGCTGTAATTGTTACTGTGTTGGATGAAAATGACAACAGTCCCAAATTTACTCATAATCATTTCCAGTTTTTCGTATCAGAGAACTTACCAAAGTATAGCACGGTGGGGGTGATCACAGTGACTGATGCAGATGCTGGGGAAAATAAAGCAGTGACCCTTTCCATCCTGAATGACAATGAAAACTTTGTGCTGGATCCATACTCTGGAGTTATAAAGTCCAACGTTTCTTTTGATCGAGAACAGCAGAGCTCTTACACCTTTGATGTTAAGGCAGTGGATGGAGGGCAACCTCCTCGCTCTTCTACAGCAAAAGTAACAATAAACGTGATGGATGTCAATGATAACAGTCCTGTTGTCATCTACCCACCTTCTAATACTTCTTTTAAGCTAGTGCCACTCTCAGCAATTCCAGGATCGGTGGTAGCTGAAGTCTTTGCTGTGGATATAGACACTGGCATGAACGCTGAGCTGAAGTACACGATTGTAAGCGGCAATAACAAGGGCTTGTTTCGGATTGATCCGGTGACAGGTAATATCACTCTGGAAGAAAAACCAACTCCTAATGACATAGGCCTGCATCGCTTAGTTGTCAACATAAGTGATTTGGGTTATCCCAAATCCCTGCATACTCTTGTGCTTGTATTTTTATATGTAAATGATACTGCTGGAAATGCCTCTTATATTTATGACTTGATACGTAGGACTATGGAAACACCTTTGGATCGGAACATAGGGGACAGTAGCCAGCCCTACCAAAATGAGGACTATCTCACAATCATGATCGCTATTGTGGCAGGTGCCATGGTTGTCATAGTGGTGATATTTGTCACGGTTCTTGTTCGCTGTCGACATGCGTCCAGATTCAAAGCTGCCCAGAGGAGCAAGCAAGGTGCTGAGTGGATGTCTCCCAATCAGGAAAACAAACAAAACAAGAAAAAGAAAAGGAAGAAAAGGAAATCTCCAAAGAGCTCCCTTTTGAACTTTGTGACTATTGAGGAGTCCAAACCTGATGATGCAGTTCATGAACCTATCAACGGGACAATAAGCCTTCCATCGGAGCTGGAGGAGCAAAGTATAGGAAGATTTGATTGGGGCACAGCACCACCATCAACCTTTAAGCCTAACAGTCCTGATCTTGCCAAGCATTACAAATCTGCCTCTCCGCAGTCTGCTTTTCATCTCAAACCTGACACTCCAGTTTCAGTGAAAAAGCACCATGTGATTCAGGAACTCCCGTTGGACAACACCTTTGTTGGTGGTTGCGACACCCTTTCCAAACGCTCTTCCACTAGTTCAGATCACTTCAGTGCCTCAGAGTGCAGTTCCCAAGGAGGCTTCAAGACAAAGGGCCCCTTACACACCAGACAGGTAAACGAGCACTTTTACTGGTCTATAAGTACTGCATACAAGTGCCCGATCAACCAGTATTAAAAGTGCCACTGTGTTGTGAGTTGGTTTTTTTGGTGGTTTTTTTTTTTTTTTTTTGTTTTGGTTTTTTTTGTTTAATGCTAATTTAATGTAGTTAAAATTATGGGGGGAACAAAAAAAAAACAACCTAAACCAAACACCAAAAACAAGAACAAACAAACAAAAACCTTGAGCTTTTTATCATTTACCTGGGGCTTAACCATGTGTTTGCAAAATGCCTCTAATACTTTGGGTTTTGAAGAATTTTGATTGTTAGAGGACATTTATGTCTCTATGCATGTGCACATACATGTGCATAAGCAAAACTGAAAAAAAAGGACTTTTTTTTTTCTCCCCAGTATTTAACTGTCCAATTGTAAAACTTACTGAAGAACTGTTGCTAAATTTCAGTCAGAAATTTGACTGTTTCAAGGTTGAAGGGATATGTACATTGTTTCAAATTTCAAAGTGAGTTGGCTTGAATTTCTTTTGCAGTTCGAGCTGATTTGGAACCTTGCTAAGTTAGTGTTACTAAAAGAGTTAATTTTTTTCCCCTAACAAAGACAGCCAAATTTCCAAGCTACTTCATCAGTGAAGCACATGGTTTATTGGTAGTATATAACTAAGCCATACGTAAGTCTTCCTCTTGTTTGAGTTCAACATGATTTTATTGTAATAGACGAAAGTTGGTATCACATAGACGGTTTGCTGAATATTTTAAAAAACGGCCAAAGCATACTTTTGAAAGGAATGCGTTCTTTGAATACATCTGAATTATGCAGGAAAAAGAAAAAAAGTCAGCCTATTGTAAATATTTTCTCATCTTAGTAATGCATAAGTGATCTGACATATTTCATTTTAAACTGTGAAACACGCCATATGAAGAGGGATTAGAAAGCTGAGAGACTCATATTTCAACCAAATCCAGCATTAGGTGTTTTTTGGTTTTTTTTTTCCCTCTCTCCTTAGGTCTAACAACTCCTTGCTAATAAAGATTTAAATGCGGTGCTGTCTTAATTTATTTTCCGGGCGCTCTTCTTGCGGGCGCCGCGGGAGCGCGCGCGCGCGCGGCCCGTAGGTGGCCCCCGTGCCCGCTGCCCCCGTGCCCGCTCCCTCCGTGCCCGCTCCCTCCGTGCCCCCTCGGTGCTGGGAGTCGCGTCCGTGGGCCCGCTGCCCCCGTGCCCGCTCTCCCTGTGCCCGCTGCCCCCGTGCCCGCTCTCCCTGTGCCCGCTCCCCCCGTGCCCGCTCCCTCCGTGGCCCCTCGGTGCTGGGAGTCGCTCCTTGCGGGCGCAGTACCCCCCGAGCGATGGTGGTTTGTCTGAATTTGTCAGGGATGTGGATCCTAGAGAAGCGAGACACATTTAGGCTCGTCTTTGCAAAGCGATTTTGACGGTAGCCGAGTTTAGGACAGAGTCATCTTGTTGTTGTTGCGTTAGCCTTATCTGGGATGGATGTGCCGTTCCCAGAAGCGTGTCTTGGCTTTGCGTGTTTGTCAGGTGCGAAGAATAAAACGAACACTTTGGAGGCAGTTCTGCTGAAGTGACTGCTCTGACACAACTCCTTCTTTTTGAGACACTGAAGACACCACAGAAGAATCTCACAAGCCCCTAATCTCTCTAAGGGACTTTAAAACAGGGTCTTCTAAGCCATCTCACAGCACTGTACAGATATTGTCAGCATGAGTCAAAAAAAAAAGCTATTAACCCCCTCCCCCCCCCCCAAAAAAAAAAAAAAAAAGAAGCATGGAAGAGCTCTGCAAAGTCTGTGCTTAATTGTCTGAAGTTTTCTCCTCAGTTTTAGTTGCAGAATGTTATCCCTTCAAATCACACATTCCTTTTCTGTTCTGAGGTTATTTTAATTTAGGCATAAATTAGCTTTCCAAACTCTAAAATCAGAAAACTCAGACTTAACTCCCCATAGTATCTAGAGGCAGTTGGGACACCCAGAATTTTTGCCTGACAGAATGTGTAAGCTCTGCATGGCAAAATTGAACATGATGGGGTAAAAAAACTCCCACACCCATACAAAAACAACTGACAGTATTTCCAGTTACCCGTGTTCATTGCATTAAGTACCCTCGTCTCCACTTAATAATATGTGTAATTATAACTGTATGTGGACCTGATTCAAATATCACTGAAGTCATAATGTATCCTTTTTGAAGTCAGTAGATACTCATGATTTGGATTGCTTCCTGAAAAAGCTGTATTATTATATGTAAATGAAAGTACAACTCTTTCTTAGGTAGACAGTTACCTAATCTGAGTTTGTATATTTTTTTTCCTGTGGGGAACAATAGAATGTCTTTTTGGGTTTTTTTGTCCCGGTGATGAGTGTTACAGGATGTAATCTTTTTAGGCTTCCGTGTCAATTTTGGATGAAGTAGTATAACCATCAATGGTAGTAATCATCAACAATCTTCCTATTCTTCTGTCTGTAATTCCCAAAATTATGATGCATTTTAGCTAATATTCGTTTTCACAGGAGTGAAATACACCATCATAGGTATTTTTTAAAAATTTGTGATAGAGCATGGCCTTTAAGCAAAATATTCAGATTTAAAGACCTTACTGAACAGTAGTGTGTGCTAATGCCACAGCATCTGAAAAAAAAAATTTACAAATTCCTTTAGGAAGAGATGCTTAATCCTGTGCCATTATACTGTTTTCTTCAGGTTTAACATAACTAATTTCTCTGCATCTAATGTTGAGTTAGGTTACTTATGTATATTCAGTATCTTGGTAGGTTTTGTAAAGAACATGGGAATTGTTGTGGATCATGTTAAGATAGGGAAAGATGAAATACAGGACAAATATATATCTAAGAAAGTCTAGTATCCTCCACCTTCACTTACAATTTCTTTTAGTTCAAGGTAAATGCACACACAGTGTGTCTTGCAGATACATTTATATTAGCAAAGAGCTGAGACCTAAGTAAGCACTTGGACTTCATTCAAGCAAAATCTTGATGCTTTTGATGGGCATGTGGCCCTAGAAATATGTTAGAACTGGGTCTTAAACAAAAAAAGCTTTTAGAATTAAAAACATATTGTTCAATAAAAATATTCTTAGGTTTTTGGGGGTTTTGGAGGGCAGTTTTTGGGGTTTTGGTTTGTTTTTTCTTGTTTTTTTGGTGGGCAATTTCTGTGCAATCATCAATAAATTTAGTGTAAATTCTGTGGTTAAGTTTTTATATGTGAGTTTGAATTGTACAGACTGATGTTTCACAAGTACCCAGTAGGAAAACCAAAGCCTTCTTCAAGTGCCTATCTTGCAGTAAACCTGGTGGATGCTCTGAAAAGAGCATTTTTGAATACTTGAACTTGGGATTGTTCTAAATGCTAATTCTCATAATTAGGAGTATGGAAAGGATGTTGCACACCACCAGCTTATATAGCTAAGCTTCCAAAATCAGTGTTATGACTCATAAAGAATACTGAAATCTATGCAGGCTTCTCAATCAGTGTTCTTTTCAGTATTTGATTGAACTTTAAAATGCGCTTCAAATTAGTAAGTCATTACACCAAACAGCTACATAGAAATACAGCAGAAGACGACATGTTGCATTCTTCTATGTGAAAGACCTCTTTTGAAAAGCAAATAAACAGACAAAAACTCCTACTCAATGTCATTAGATTAACAATAGGTTAAATAATAAAAGAAATTAAGGCAAATTTACTGTGGTTATCCCAATTTAAAATTATAACAACTTCATTTAATCAGATTTAAAGCACAGCAGTGGCAAATAACACAGGTTTAAAAATATGTATCAGTATAGGTTATAGGCAAAACCTTCAGTCTTCATTCCTAATCAAAATGCATTTAGGCATGTGCTTAACTTTCATTTAATGTGGTAAAACTGAAGCAGATCCTTAAAGTCCAAGTGACTTGAGATGTTGTCTTCAAGAAAAAGTCATAAGCACACTATAAGCACTTTTCTGAATCAAAATGATAATATAGAAATTTTGGAAATGTGCACAGTTCTAGAAGATTCAGGAAAGTTGAATATATGTAAACACCGTCCTCGTATTTCTGTGCTCTAGTGGCAGAAATTAAGGATTTGGGGCTCGAATAACACATTAACTACATTCCATACTAAAGTATATTTTTAATCTTATACTCAATAACATAAGCTCTGTAGAGATTGCTTTATTCCTTTTTTAGCCAATGGACTTCTTGCCTGATCAAGGAACAAGTAGCCAGGCTCCTGCTGATCAATGCACATCACTTAAGCTTTATGTGGCAAATCTAATTGATGTTATCTTACTCTGGAGTGTTAAAATTTGTAAGTTTGGAGTTTATGTAAGAGAAAAGAAAAGCTGAAAACATTAATGACTCTTAATTTGATACGCTGAGAGTGGCAATTTCAAGGTGCATAAGCTGATGGAAATCTGCATTGGAACAGCAGTGCAGAGCTTACGTCACCTGCAAATATTAAAATTCTGTAACCATAGCATTCCACAATTCTGCGTGCAGTATTATTTTTAGTGGCCTTGTTTCATCACTTAGTATAAATAAAAAATACATACATTCTTTTGTTTGCTTAGTTTGGTTTATGTGTTAGCATGGATATTAGTCTTGGGTGAGGACTAGTCATCTGGAAAAGTGTCTGCATGTAAAATTCAGTTGTTTTCTAGTTCTGTATATTTGTATATCTATACTAAAATATTAGAAATGGTGACAATGTACAGTGTATTTTTTCTATTGTTGTATAACTGAAAAATAGGTTAACAGATTTTGCTGAACTGTCTAAAGAAGTTCATCTTTGAGCTGAGACCAAGCATGGAAAATTTCAGGTGAAAAGAAGAATTTTTCAGAAAGTTATGAGCATGTGTAAACTAGGAGCTATAAGGGATATCTGAACATAACCCTAAGCTATAATACCATTTTCAATAGTGATGGTAGACATGCTCAGCTAGAGTAGGGAAGATTTTGTGTATACAGATCAGACAGTAAAAGCTC